ACCCGGCATTTTTGTTTCGACCCTTGTCTTTGCTCCGCTGTCTACATGCCGCTTCTAACAGTTTGTCCAATGCTTCCTACAAGAAGTGCAATTAAACTGTTCATACAGTGTGAAATCCGCCCCATCCTTGCCCACATAGTCTTATCATTTCATCTAATGCAACTCTACTTCTCCTGCAAGCCAGAATTGTTCAAACCAGCCTTTTGCCAGGATCCATTTTGTAATTCTCTCCATATCATCTGGGCTGTTCATCATTGCCGTCAAGGACCTCTCCTCTCCCCGTTGCCCACTGAGAACACGCCAAGACCATATGTTTGACATTTTGAGACAGATATCCACACTGACATTTTGGATTAATCACTCCGAGGACTTTACTTCGATACAGATAAGAGTTGAAACCAATGTGCTAACGTCTTATCTGAACTGCAATACTGCTTTGGGCTCTACTAAGGTTTCGGTGGATATTTGAGGGTGTGTTTCTATAGGTAATCCCTTTTCTGCCTGTTGTCTCATGTGTAACAATATTTGCGGCTTTCCAATTTTCAGGGTCTGTCGAAGCTCGATGACCAGATAGTATCTCGTTCCCTGGACGTGTCTATGGGTTTTTCCACTGCTGGAACGCGGCCACCTTACCGGTATCTTTTTGTCTCCCTTTCGCAATCTCCATGCCACAAATTCTGGTCCATTCTTCAATGTCTAGCTTTCGATTCTTGGCATGCCTATTCTCAGTTCCCCTTGTGGTCTGCTTAACTTTGCTGCACGCAGATAGTATCGATATCCTGATAGGTAGTCCTTCTGATAGTCCGACATGTTGGACCTTCCTTTGTTTCAGGTAGATATTGTTGGAAACTCTGACTCTCGAGTTTAGGACTCAACCATTACCTGTTTCGTCTCAGGTTCCCGACAAGATCGACTCTCTCTCTACACATGTCCCGAGTGCGCTAATTGCGCCTACTTTTGCCTATACCTTTGTATATTTACGTACTACAGTGTACCCTGGCTCATCATGGTAGATGAGAGGTGGCTGGTCATCACTAGGTTTGACAGCCACATGAGACTAGTGGGAATTTCTCCCTTAGATGTATATAAGTCTAATGTTCTCACAGTTGTAAAATATCAAGTCTTTTTTACTTCATCACATATATCCATATAATGTTGTGCAGAGTAAATTTTCCAACAGATATCTATCGGAAGAACCGAAGACTCGTGTTCTAGTATCCTACTACTGATAGAGTTATATCACCCTGTAATGAGCTTCAAGCATTTTCGTTGGATATTTCGCAATGTTTTGAATATCCTTTCTGGTATTTCACCTGCTGGTCCAGCTGCAGCCCATATAGAACACCCGTAAGTTAGGGCTAGTCTCACCATCGTGCTGTACAAAAGCTTTGACTCCTTGAATGCTACACCCCAAGTTGACTTCTTTTTTTTTTTTAAATCATTTAATGTGTATTCAGCTATCTAGCTATGACACATGACCGGTGCTATGTATACATGTTGGATGACTCTTTTGACGTTAGAGACACTCATACTCTGGATTTCATTCGCAAATACCACTATGAGGTATGCTTGCTTACACAAACAGTCGACCCTCCTCTGTTAGTACCCACCAAAGAGAATTTCAAAACCTTTGGTTATCCAAGCATGCCTTCGTCATATATGTACACCAGCACCGCGAGAAATGGGATTGTGTTTTGCCGGATTTGAACCAGCGATCTACTGTCTCAAGTGGGATAAGTGTCCAAGCTATCCAGACTCTACTTGGCTGACCATCCAAGACGATGTACCACCACACCATCCAACCATGGCGGTGTTTATAGTGTCGCCTGCACTCCCAACTTGATTTCGTCAATCTACTTATTGACCATAGATGTCCTTGTGTGCTGATAGTTGCTTCTGGGTTATGCCACTTTCTTGCTTGTGTGAGTGCATGAGGAGGTACTTTTCCGGCGCAAACTTCACTCCTGTTGTGGCCAGGCATCCTTGAAGAAGGTTCAAGGAGAAAGTTCTCAGGAAAAGGTTCAAGGAGAAGATTTCCGGGAGAACTCCGACAATTAGAGTTGGAAGGGCTCATCATGATATAACCTCCAAAGCCTCACTTAAATCTAGCACGTAGTAGTTGTGCTTAAGGAAGCTGGAGTAACCAAAAGAGTTCTTCAGCTTCTCAATCTTACATCTCCATAGTCCATTATTCTCAGAATACCTAACAGCTTGTCTTGACCTCTCGTCCCTCAGTCCCAACCTCCTGGCATCTCGACAACTCCGTCAAACCACCAGATCTATCCTTAGGTATATCCTCTCTTAGTTACTCGTCTAGTTATTACTAGGATATTCACAGCAGACGGCGATCGCCACTCCATCGATCACCCGCCGTAACAACGCCGTTCCTTTCAGCCCATGCCTCGCAGATCTCGTATTGTTCCTCTACTTTCCTACAGTTTTCTTCGGTTGCACCTGAACATATTATTATGTTAGTAATGCGTCACTTCGGGTTATTATTCCGTACTTATTAATTTTTTCTCAGTCTATGCCTACATAGAACACGTAAGTCTTCTCTTCTTCTAAAGTAAGCATATCTATACCCCCTTCACAATTCGCCTCCAACCGAGCCTCTTCTCCCATGTCTTTATCGGGTTATACGCTTAGAGTATTCTATTACACTTCATTATGTTCTTTTTTTAGCCAATAGAATGAAGGCCATTTGCGGGTGTATAATATCCAGGATATGGAAGCAAAACCTGTTGGAAATCGGTATAGGCACGATCTATCAATTGAATAATATCGATTTAAATCGATATAAATCTGAGGAATATGTGATGAGCTGTGGAGTTATAAGTGCTTATATGAAGAATGAAATTAATCTGTAATTATTAGTGATTCCTTGACAGATTATATACATGTATTTTTAGCCGACTAAATGTAAATCAGGTACCATCTACCAGGCCCCGTTCCATTCGAAAACAACGACAATACATTGCACGATAGTATGCATTATAAATATATGAACATGGTCGGTGTATGAAAGTCTACCTAACGGGTATCACACAACACCATACGCCAGTCGAGTCTAGGGCATCAAATATGCTCGAGGAAGAGGATATCAGTAATCTCGATCGTGAGCTATGTGTGAGAATCATGGCTGTTCAAATCATAGAAATACTTCAAATAGAGGGGCTGAATTTCAAATAAAATCCAGTGGGTGCACGGCTCTCCTATTACAGATATCAAGACTTAGTCCGAAGACCACACTCATCTTTTTCAGCGCTAAGAAAGACTGTTCAGACTGTATTGTAGAATTGTGTGTATTGATTAGAATAACTCTATTTATTTAAAGCGTCTTTCTAGCCTTTTCCCCTACTTATCCCTCATGCAATTATAATGTCATGAAAAAGCCTTAAGATGAATATTGTTTCATCTCCTCATTATCGAGAAGTGGTTATTATCTTCTTGAGTAACCTACAGCGATTAATGGGGGATTAAAGTTGAAGTCGCTCAGATTGTACCTCACATATCGCTCGCTAGGCGAGGCCCGAAGGTTTCTACAGTGGAAGAAACAGGCCGTTTGGTGCAAAGCTTTGCATAGATTAATATATCTGTGCATAAGTAAATAAAGCAGAGAAGTTGTGGGGCTGGGACTCATAGGGCATACACCAATGAGAGACGCCGGGCAACTGATACCAGAAGAACGGATAAGTAGGATGAGGTGGAGTCCAGAATGCAACAGGCTTGCGATATCCTTCCGTAATGTAATGGATAGCCTGTCATTCTTTAAAAAAATGGAGCCCTGACCTGACCGGCTACTTCCGCGTTGGCGCTGTGTAGATCATCCTTCTATTAAACAGCTAAGGATACAGAGCTAACGAATAAAATGATAGATTCTTCCATCGGATCTAAAAAATGATCAATAATTAACATTTGTATTTTGTGTATTCCGCTTCTCGTTATTTACATCATGCTTTCCGGACTGAACCAAATGCCGCCTACGGTGACGATAAATTTACATTTCCTTGAGTGCTAGCACAGTAAAATTTACGGAGTCCTGTGTTCCAGTTAGCTGTGTGAACCGCGCAATTTGAGGCGGAATTACATGAATCCTGCTGTGGTTTCGGGTGCCATTATACCCCTATTTCCTTACGCCACTTGGCATTTCTTCATTACCGTTCTTTCCCTTGTCATAAATCACGTGGAAGGACAGTCGAGCATAATGGTCCGAGAGCCTGGTATCCCTACCTGCATGATCGCGACACAATAGCGTCAGCTTTCCCCCAGCTACCCTTACCTTGCTTATGCAGATTCAGGAGTGATGGACTGCCAAGGCATTCTGGAATCGACAGCGAACTATCTCAATTGTTGCTATAGCTCACATCTCGTTACGCCAATTTCATTCAACAATGTCACCGTCAATTAAATCAAGAAATACTATTTCTGGCAGGGTAGATTTGCTGCTGCATCAGTAGCTGGGTGTTGGCTATTAGGACTTCCGGTTCCGGGGCCACTAATCCCGAGATGGCGGAATGTCTGCGGAACATCACGGCTCGAGATAACGACAGATATCTAAGCTCTTTGCTGTGGAAACTGTTCAAGGATCGGCAGAATCCGCATCTTTTACTGGCATGGCTTGAACTGGCTCTTAATATCTGACAATTCAAGGCTGTGGAATGGTTTTAGTCAACAAATCGGAAACTTGTCGAGACTATCCTTTTGCTTTTTGACAGGAATAAGCAACGAACTGGTACTTGGTCAACTGCAATGACTTACACCAGTCCGGGTTCGGGGGTTCCGCTATTTACAATCATTAATCCATGCTCCCGACCTCTACGCTCACAAAATTCTATATCTTCAACATTTATTCAGTCTCTATTCGTATTTATTATCGTACATATACAGTCTCTTGCAAAGAATTTTCACATATTTATACATACCTACACGCATCATAAACTGCATCCACTGGCTTCTTTCCTAAAGCAGCAGCTGTTGCAAGGCACTATAATTCAAACCTGATGAATTTACTTATTCTTCAACTTTTATTTATCATATGGCCTCGTGTTGCACTATCAAACTGCACATCAGATATAGCCATAGACGCATATCAAGATCGTGTATCCAAAAAAAATAATTGGCATCTATATACATTTGGTAGGTTATCGATATCTTTCATACCGTACTGAGACTGATGTGGGTTATATTAAGATGACGGAACAACATCCGGATTTACGCGAGTTTTATCTAAGAAGAAGGTTTTTTTTGAAGCAACAAGTGCTCGTAGTTATGTCTTCACGGAGTTCCCTTGCCAAAACTTGACTGGCACCAGCTACGATGCACTCACATTCTCACTCAGAGGCCCAGAAGACGCCTCATATGTTCTAGAACTACAGACTTCTGCATCTTGCTCAACAAAAGAATACGCAAGTAATTTTGTCAGTCTCACAGGAGTGACCAGCGTCGCGCAGACTTTCACCATTCCGTTGAGCCTCTTTGAAGGTGCCAATCTCGAGGCTATAAAATCAATTGTCTTTCAAGATTTGACGTTGGGCGACTGGGAGATTGGAGAGACAGAACTTTCTTGCACGGAAACAACAGCCCATAGCATATCCAGCGATGCCCGGAATTCTTCCAATACAACCAACTCGTTATCTTCAACTACAACTCAACAAACTCTGAAGCGTCAAAATCCCGAACCGTGTGAGTCTCTCCTCATCGATGACTTTGCTTCACAATCTCGTCTCACTTTTTTGTTTTACAATGCAAAATTATTTCCTTCCTCGGACGATGCGACAATGAAACCTGTGGCGGGAAGAGTCGACACACAAACTAGCGTGATTGTAGCTGATAACCATGTTACGCTGACACCAGCGAATGATAAATCTTATTGGTTCACCCAATTAGGCTGTTTAAAGGCGACAAATACGTGGGGTGGCATTGGTATGACCATCAAAGCTGCCCGAGGAACGACTCTTCGGTTAGAAATAGGTAGTGATCCTTCTTGTACAAATACCAACCCAAAAAACGTTGCTGTCTCGTCAACTCAACTCGGGTGGAATTTTGATGGCACAGAAAAATACTACCAGATCCCTTTTTCTAAGTTTCCTGGTCTTGATACCGATCACTTAGTTACTCTACTCTTCTCGGAAATGAGTAAATCTGTCACATTAGGTCCTATCGCGCTTTACTGTGGAACTTCTGGGTCAGCTTACACAATTCCAATGATGACTGAACCTGTGGAGTCAGACGAAAAAATTCCAACAACCAGGGGTCAATCTATGCTGCTGATAGACACTTTTATGAATAAAGATAGCAATTCACTTGGCTTCTACCATGGTGGTGACGATTCACAAGTCGCCACAATAGCTAATTCACGGCTGACCATCAATACAAAGGGTAATGCCGACTTATCTTGGTATACTCAAGTCGCTAATGGCTGTCGAGACCTAACCCCTCTTCAGGATGGGTACCTTCACATCGCATATTCAGGCAGTAATGCATTTACCGTAGCGCTTCAACAGCACAATCCTACTTGCAATGATAAAATACGTCCTATTCCCTTCACATGGGACTCGGTCGAAGCTTCTCGTTACAGTAACTCCGTCAAATCTGATATATACGTTCCACTCACTCATTTTAATATCGATCGCACAAAGAGTATTGGTTTTGGTTTTCAGGGCTTCTATACTAGTAACCCTACTACTTTTTCGAAAATTGAAATAGTATCATCTGTGCCCAGTGGTTTCCTAGTTCCTTCTAAGCTCCCTACTGCTTCACTCGTTTTCTCTTGCACTCGACCAAACTCGTTTGCTTTTGCCATTGACGATGGCGAACCAAAGTTCGCGCAACGGATTGTCTCAGCGGTCGCTGAAGCTGGCATAAAAGTAACTTTTTTTACCGTCGGAGCACCTCTTCTTGACCCGAGCACAAATCTAACCAATGTATACAAGGGTATGTTGGATTCTGGCCACCAGGTCGCTTATCACTCTTACACGCATCCTCCAATGGAAGGATTACCATCGCTTGCTGCCATTGACTGGGAGTTAAATAATGATATCGATGCTGTAAAAAAAACACTAGGTATAACTAGCACTTATTTTAGACCACCATTTGGAACAGAAGGTGCTCGAGTTAGGCAGCGATTAGAAAGCATAATTCCCGGCAGCAAGTTTGTGATGTGGAGTGTTGATGTGCAAGACTACCTATGGGCGCAAAGTCCCACACCAGAGAATCAAATTACTAATTTTGAGAACGACGTTAAGCTGGGAGGTAATTTGGTAGTTATGTAAGCCAGATTTTTTCCTCTTTAAGATGGAAAATGACACTAATTGAACCAAATACAGGCACTACCTATATGAGACGACAGTAAATTACCTCCCTAAATTTATTGCCATAGCTAAGTCTACTGGGAAACAACTTATGCGGGTCGACCAATGCATGGAAGATCCCAATGCACCTCCGCTCTAGTAAATACAGCGATTTAGTAACATGATTTTGGATAAACATGTATATACAAGTAATTTTTTTTCAAAAGAACTAATCAGGTTAATCTGACGCTAAGAATTTTTATTTATCTACCAAGAAGTAACCATTTTTTACAATAATTTCATATGTATTTAGCCATAACACATGAACAGTGCCTAGTGCACGTGATAGATGCTTCGTTCAACTTCAATTATTCTTACTCTAGATGTCATCAGCAAAACCACTATCAGGTACGAATTTCCATGCAGAATAGCCCAGCAAAATTTTTGGAAATAACGCCAATGGAATGGGCGCGATATCTTCCGAAAGAAATAAGCAAGGTGGATAAATGAGTGTCATCTTTTGATTGCGGCTACAAGAGTTGGAGCTGTGCGCCATAAGTACAACTATAAGTCACAAGAACTGTTGTGTCGCCACCTAAGCATAGAACTCCTCCTGTTCATTCCCCGCAGCTGTCCAAGTATCCTCTAGTAGCTTGTAGTGCTGCCTGACTTCATAACCCAACCCCTATAAACTATAAAGGATCTTATTGGTAAACTAAATAAAATGAAGAGCTCAGAGGTCTAGTACAATGCATGTTTCAATTTCATGTACTAAATATCAGTATATACATAGCAATAAAATGGGGTTAATTCAAAGGACGTAACTCAGATAGACTTCAATATATAGCAGCTGAAATACTACGCTTAGTTTTCACTTTTATAAACAGAATATGAATACTAGTTGATCCTGTATTATCTAAATAGAAAAATAGGGTTTCTGTATATGTCTATTAATATAACTTTAGTGTATCTTAAGAATGGAGTATTACACTTCTCTAAGTACTGTATCAATTGACAGTATTTCATGCAGTTTTCTTCCTTTCATCTATATTCGCTTGCCGGAAAACTCGTTTTCTCACATGTAATTTGAGTTGGTGTAAAAGCTCAGTAAGCTCTGCGTATTCGAGATAGCCAACAGCAATTGCATCAAAGTTGAGGTCACGAGCAAACGCAAACACAAGCATATCCTTTATCTTCGTATCCTCATCATTGCCAGTCCTGAAATTTACGCATGACTTTGGCTCATTCTTATTACAAGCTATCTTGCCTCATCGACCGATCAGGGAGCTGCAGCAATTTCAAACTGGAGATTGCCTCATGCTCACTAGCTATCTCTTACCGCGGAATTGTGAAGATACGTTTGCTCGTAAGGACTAAAAGTAGCTCATGAGATACGAGCCCTGGGTCTTGGCTTTTAGGTACTGCTGCTCAAGCGGGGCTGTACTGTTCAGTGGAGTATAGGCAAGTGAAAAATGGGATAAGATGGAGTCAGAGGTCATCGATAGACATGCTGGGACTGACTATCTCTGAGCATATTTCGTTTTTGGGGTGTTCATGAGGACCAAAACTACGATTTTTGGCGATAACCTAGGAGGACTTACACTTTTAATGGATCCAGAGCATTCCTCAATACCCAAGCCAACACCGAGGAGTTCGAATAAGCTACAAAACAATAAACATGCTCTGCCAAGACTCTTCCTACATTTCAACTCAAGCTTCAAATAGAAAGAGATGTAAAGAGGCTGTTAAAGCAGAGTCTGAACTTCCTTGGATGTAGACAAGTCTTCAGTATTAAACTGACCGGCCTCCTAGAAAGCTTCAAATAGGTAACTACGTCTCCTGATCCAGTCCTGGCGTTAGTTCCAGGAGAATCTCGATCCCAGCTGGTTTTACGATTATCCCTAGCTCCCGTACACTTGCAAATATTCATCGCTGCGTTTGCTGGAAAGGGGAGATAGTGAGGTAAAAAGAGCTCCACTCTGTGTATGAACGAATGAGAGCTTGTGAGGGGAGCCATAGAATTGGATATACTACTAAGTAGGTATCTTTGCCTTGTTTGCAGAAAGGAACTTCATGTATTGTATACTAAGACTGAGTAAAGGCAGTATAGACAAATGAATACACTCTCATCCATTCCACAGCTATCTCTGAAAATCATTGACATAAGTTAATCTTTGCGCATACTTCAAATGGCGCGCTCTTACCCTCTATTTATGCCTTTGATTCTCGGGGGGTGTCCGAGAGATATTTTAGTCATAACATTGTCGATCCCCCATCGTTAGTACCCGCCAAGGGCAAAGCTCGAAACATTTGGTCGTCCATACATACTGGCATCACGAGAAAACTTGTCAAGCCTTGCTGTAAGTTAATCAGTACCCTTCAAATTTTACAGTTCTCCAAGCTATTTAGACTATATTCCAAATACCAGCCTAGTTATGAGCCTGATAGGAAGACGAAACTCAAGGCTCGCCAGTGGTGTCCCATATGAATCTCCAGCTCTCACTGTAGAGTCTGCAGAGCCGAGATTGAGCAAAACCTTTTCAACATTGAGCTGAGTTATCTCCACATCCGTCAAAGATACGCTTCCGATAACTCATTAGACGACCAAGACGACGATAATGGTGCTGGGAATGAGGAAAGATAATGCGGTACCAAACGCTACAACGGTAGTCAGAGATGCCCTCGTTATAATACAACATGTGCTACCCACTGGCAGGCGAACAAAAAAGCCCATGAAAGCAAAGTAAAAGTCCCTTCCGCCTTCAAGAAAAACAGACTTCGACTCGTCAATAATATCGTCTTTTCTAATCTTTACCTCCGAAACTACTAGCTAGCAAGGTGTCTGAATTAAATGACTTATTCGACAACCTTGTGTCCGTAACGACTTTAGGATGCTAGGCTAGGCTCTTTCACGACAGTCACTCTCGACCAAGACTTTTCTGACATCTTTTCACGACCTTCGGTTTATCCTGCAGCATGAATTAGGAGAAGATTAAGGAGAAGGCCAGGAAGGTTGAGAGACGCTCTTAGGTATACACAGGTCTGCTGCACCCAGTTTGCCGGCCTCTACGTAATGGGAGAGCCCCGCACCCATTGGCTTTTGAGAATTTTTCCTGCAGCTACACACCCGCAAATGGCCATCGTTTCGTTAGCTGGAGAGGGGAGATAATGATGGGATAACTGCTCCTCTTAGTGTGTACTCGAATGAAGACCTGTGGGGGTATTACTGGTGGAAAGAAGTCGTGAAGGAGGTATAGGAGGGAGTACACTATCCGAGGCATAGATACTCCTGGCCTGCAGGCAGAAAGGACCTACATGTCCTTTGATAGTCATAGACTTTAGAGGACAATAAACATATATAATACAATATGAACCTGACATAGGGCAAGACTGAACACCAGTACGCGGTGTTCTTTACGAACCTGGAAGTGAAATATCTTCTTAGAGCCAAATTCAGTCAAATTTCGCGATACCAAACTTGGCTCACGAACAATGATTCAAAATACTCCATCATATCAGTCTTTCACTCCCAACGAGATCGATCTCCATAGAAACCCCATCAAGTCTACAAGTACGACCTAGTACATCCTCATTTCAATGATCACACCTCTTGTCGACTTTCTCTGGCCTCAGCCGGTCACCAAATACACGCCCACGCCTATATTTATATCCGCAGCAGGAAACAAAGCGTGGTGCACAAATCTGGGAGGCTGTTCTTTGGGATGGACGTGAGAGGATTCAGGACTAGTTCACAAGATGATGCGAAGGATGGATACAGTCTCGACGGGCGTGGAACTTTGAATTTTGGCAAGGAGTTTTTACAAATTGAGCTTTGTGCGTGCCAAGGCTTCGGTTGGGAGTGTGCAGGTGACACTATAAACATCGTCATGGTTGGATGGTGCGGTGGTACATCGTCTTGGCCGGTCTGCCAAGTAGAGTCTGGATAGCTTGGACACACATCCCACTTGTGACAGGGGATTGCTGGTTCGAATCCGGCAAAATATAAACACATTTCTCGCGACGCTAGTATATATGGATGATAAAGGCATGCTCGAACAATTAAAGGTACTGAAATTCTATTTGGTGGTTACTTACTGAGGAGGGTCGATTGTTTGTGTAAGCAAACCTACCTCATAGTGGTGTTTGTGTTTATTGTACTACTTGAGTCATAGACTATCTAGCACACTGGGTTACATCATAGTGGTATTTACGAATGAAATCCAGAGTATGAGAGTCTCTAACGTCAAAAGAGTCATCCAATATATATACATAGCACCAGTCATATGTCATAGCTATCTAGCTGCATGCACCTTAAATTTTTTTAAAAAAGTCAATGAAGATGATATAATTTAACTCTTCCCTATGACTTGATTTTACGATGAGCGGTAGTTGTATATCGCTTGATTCAGCACTAGTGAGTAAGAAGAAAATTGCGAGGACGATTAGCCAAATCCAAGCAATTTAGCTCGCATGTAGACGGGATCAAAATCTTTTCTGAACTGTAATTATTTGTTGAGTTTTAAGAGCGTTGGTCACGCATTATCGTTTTTGCACCCCTCACACAATGGCGTCTGGGATTTTTTTAAATTATTCAATGTGTATTCAGCTATCTAGCTATGACGAATGACGAATGACCGGTGCTATCATTCCTGATAATTTTCGAATATTCCCATATTCCCCTTCTCCCCCCTCTCGCACTTGTCGCATATGTTCGACACACTGAGATGGAGCCTCCGGCATTTTAATCACACCGCCTATTCGGAAGAAGCGTCCCAACGCCATGTTGGACAACACGAGAGTCCTCGGGCGGACTCTCGATCAAACAACGGGCCATGCCGAGTCTACAAGATACGTGGAGATGGGCAAGACCACAAGCAAAGTGAAGCCAAAGGCACTCCCTGCCATCTCTGTGCCCGATACTGCTATGGTCGGGTCAGTTGAAATTGTTGAGAAGATCCTTCAACCACCCTCCACCTCCTGCGGAATAGGAGGAATTTCCAAATCTTCTCCGATCGTGTCAAAACCGTCAGATAACACTGCACCAAATGCAGCATCATAACCAACGTCGCAGCCAAAAGCAGCTGCAAATGTAGAATTCCCGCCTGAGGTTCGACCGATTCTCGGGGCCGAAGAGCGACGCTCCGCCTAAACAGCGTCCAA